CAGCTGATTAGAAAGCAGACCTCAAAGATGCTACAAAAGGAAAAAAAAGGAGAAATTCCTTATTTATCTTTGGTTAACGAATCATTCATTTCGTATTACATTGATAAGAAGAAAGTTCCACTTCGATTTTTTTTTTACCCAAGAACTGCGAGTTTATGAAACAAACTTCCACGTGGATGTTTGTCATTCCTATAGATTCTTGGACGATACGCCCAAAACGACATTTAACAACAAAAAATCTGCAAATGGCACTACTCTATCAAATCATATATGACAACTCAAAAACACAGACCAAAACGTACAAAAATAACATTCAGAATGAGAAAAACAGCACTAGGTTACAACAGCTAATATATATATATATATATATATATATATATATATATATATATATAAATCCTAAAGCGCCAGGAAAACCTACCTATGTTTCACCTAAACGGATCTTCAGGGTAAGCTGGCTAAAAGGAAATGACGAAGCGAATTGAGCACTACGTTTTAGTCTTACTACTCGCTTTGGGTTTTTTTTTTCCTTTGTACTAAAGACGATTTCGGCCTTTTCGGATGTTTTTAGTTCTTTCTTTTTTATTTCCAATTTTTTGCTCGGCTACCGATTTGTTTTGACATATCTACAAGTTGAGTCATCTGAGTTTTTTTTTACCAAGCGAGTATTACTATTAGTAATAAAATATGTAGAGGAGAGCACCGTGTGGGTTTACGTGTTGTTAAATTAGAAACACGTGCTATTTATTTCCTGCTAGAAGAAGGTCCAACTACAAGAACAAAGGCGGACTCAAGTTGAGTTCAACCGAAAATGAAAAGAAAACAAACAAGACCGATGTATATATGTCAACAAATATATGTATTAAACAACAAATTTACAAGTGACAAAGACATCAACATTTGTGTCTGTGTATGAACATAAAGAGTTTGTATTTTGATGAATATTCGTACGTACGTGTATGTGTGATTCATGGCGTTTTCCCACAAGTGGGCAAAACGCAGATTTCTGCGAGAGATCACATTTTTAAATGTGTCTTCTGAAATGCGGAGTCAAAAGAGAACGAGGCAAGAAGTCGCCCAGTATTTATAGTGTAGAGAGAACGCGCCCTAGGGACAATTAGGAAATTAAAGAGTAGCTAACTTCGATATATATATATATATATATATATATATATATATATATATATATATATATATATATATATAGTGTAGTGAAAAGAGATAATCAGCTACCTTGAAAACAGGGTTTGTGTTTTTGTGCGATCTGCCGAAGAAAAATTACCAAAAGTAGTTAGTTTAAAAATCTACTTTAAGGACCAGAATCTATGCTAATCTTCTTCCCTCACCAATCAGAAAGATCTCTCGGGGAACAAAAGTTGTTTTTCGCTTATGTGCGAGATTTGGGATTTTCTGAGCTTGGTGGACGAAAACGCGTTTTTTGGTGGTGAGAAGTGAAGGTTGGATGTGTGACCCCATTTTGTCGTTTCTACGTCTCCTGTTGGACTGTTACGACGGGCTATCATTTGAACTGTGATTTGGCTACAAGTGTTGCGGTCGAGAGACAAAAGAAATCTATTGTAGATGTTTGTTGCTACTATAAGTTGACACTTTATTTTTATTTTCATTTCTTTACAACTACATATATATATATATATATATATATATATATATATATATATATATATATATATATATATATATATATATATATATAAAAGGCTCAAACACTAATATTCCATGGTTATAATTTATTACATTGGAATCGTAATCACGATCAATCCATCAGACCTACAAATCAAAAAAATATATATATATCGTAAAATATATCTGTTTGATGTTTTGGCACAAATCATCTTTTACGAGTTTCATTAGGGTTGTTGGATCTTTCAACATCTTACACCCTCTTCACGGCGACACAGTCTCTCTGGGTATCGACTAGTGTGCCACCCGTCAGCAACAGTTTTATACATTTTTAAACACACACACACACACACACACACACACACACATATATATATATATATATATATATATAAGAGGGAATTTCCGTGCAACATGTTTTTGCAGTGTTGAGAAGGCAGAGGTAGAGGGAGGACTTAAGGGTTACCCCCGGGCGTCATACACTCTTGTTACGCCGCTGGATTCGAACTTGGGATTAGATATGTTGTCTGGGTGTATGTGAACCATGGAGGAAATGAATGTCATGCACGCTTAAAAGTACAGCGATAAAAACGTCCCTTAACACATTTGCCCACGAGAAACTGTTTTCTGAAACCACCAATTATACAGAGTGTATCAAAAATACTTTTAGAAACTTTAGGGTTGGGTCCTCACACCAAAACAAAACTAAAAGTCCATATAAACATATGTCCTCAAATCCTTCTCTTCTGAATTAATACGATTAAAGAAAGTTTACGGTAGATGGCCCTGTGTTGTCATATAGACTAGGTTACATTTTTCATTCGTGTACATTTGTGACTAGTTTTCAATGTTTAACGCCTGTAGTAGTGAGTTAATTGCGAAGTTCCGTTTAACAGTGGCAGGATATGCATATTGTGAGCAGGCAGATATGATTTTTACATACAGCCGCGCGAATGGTAATGGACGCGAGGCTGCACGGCTGTACCAGATTGCGATACCAGACCGAAGGTAGCCGAGTCATCCAATTTTTGCTGCTGTTTATCGTCGCGTTGCTGATCCATGGCGTCACAAACAATGGATCGAGGAGGACCGAGATCCACTCGTACGCCTGGCCACGAAAAACACATTGTACGTGCTGTCGGAAACCATCAAGGTCACGTCAAGTGGCCTTAGCATGTCATGCAGTACCGCATGAAAAGTAATTCAAGAGCAGCTTCCGTATCTGTATCATTTGCAACACCCGCAAAGTTTGTAAAAGTATTTTGGGATTTTATCTTGGATTGTCCATTTAAACTTAATGACTCAAAAACGAAGGATTTGCGGACATACGTTTATGGACTTTTTTCCATGTTTTGGTGTGAAGAAGTCGATCCCAAAGTTTGTAAAAGTATTTAAGGTATAAAATCATAATCAGTTTTGCCTCCAGTGTGTAACATCTGCCATCAATGGTAGGTTGCACACGCATTATTTTTTTCGCCCTATTTATTTATTTTTTCTTTTGGTTAATAGCAGCTTCATTAATGGTGGAAGATTGCGGGTCACACTGAGTGACATGCTCAGATGGGGTCGATATCAAAATGACTGTACAATCTGACCTCATTATCCGCGGTTGGCCCAGTCAGCAAAATTTTAAACAAAAAAACTACTCAGTGTCGATTTACTGGTGCAAAATTTTGGTCACAGCAGAATGTTTGCTATTATCCGCGGTGGAGGTAGTATTGGAACAATTGACAGCGAATAATGAGGTTCTACTGAATACAATTTTTTACCGCCGCAATGTCTGTTTTTGTTACTGTTGTTGTTTTAGTAATCGTTGATTTTATCAAATGTTTTAGTTTGTGAATTGATGTCCTATGACATAGCTATGTCAATAACTACTTTGAGAATTTAATTATGGACAATAAGAAAATTGGGAAGCTTTCCAGTCAGTGATTAAAACGTTATTTATTTTTAACTAATTTAAATTAAAATTAATTAGTTATTCCATATTATTCGTTAGCAATAAAAAATATACACGTCTAAAACAATAATTTCCTAGCCTGGTTGACCAATTTCTTCTTCACTAGGTGCCTCATACAAAATTTGACATTAGCCTTTTCTTTTCTCTATCCAGCATATTCCATTTCTTCAAACATTTTAAAGACTGACAAAAAAAGATATAGCCACAGAAAAATCAATATACGCGCGTGCATTTATACAAAAAAATTTGACCCAAATTATTGGAAATGTATAATTAACTGCGATTAATTATCAACGTCGTCTCGAAAAACATCTTGCTACCCAGGAAACCTTAAAGCAGGACCCTCAAAAGGGCTAAGAAGGGAGAAGTTCTTTTTGTTTTTTTTTTTACTTTGGCATTCATTTATTTTTTCAAGTGGAAGAGCTACCAGGCATTTTTTCTAGAAATTTTAGTATTCAAAATAGACACATCGGCCTTTCATCTTCAACAAAACGAGGTCTGTCTCCCCACTAAGATAAGTTGTGACACAAGGTCAGTTTTTAAACGGTCCTCAAACACTTTTAGTGTTCAGCATTCTATGAAAAAACAAACCTATCATCCTTGAATTTTCACAGGACAGTGTACTGTACTGTGTACAGCTGTACACGGTAAAAACCTAAACAGGTCTGTTAAGAAGTTTTAAAGATAAACTTACTACTACCTGCTTGATATGGTTACAAAAAAAACAACAATTGTTGATTGTTTTTAAACTGAACTCTCTCTCTCTCTCTCTAATTATTTTATTTTTATCGTCTACGTAGTTAATAGTTGAAAAAAGTTCTGGTGATATGGACCGAGAAAAAATAGCTTCCCCCTCTGTCAACGTTGACCTGTTTTATCACGTGGCCTTAATCTCTGCTGCTGTGGCGGCGACGACGACTCTGGTGTAGTTTTATCACACACCCAGTCGAGTTAGTCGCCTTTTCTTTTTTAAGCCTTTTTTAATCTATAGTTTAAATGTTTTTTTTTACCACAAACAATACTTGTGTTTGTTCTTTAAAGATAGAAATGTTTTATTAACTTTACTCGCGTTACAAGATGACCACACGATGTTTTGAAGTGTAATTTGGTACCAAACACAAACAATATGACAATGGCAAACACAACTCAAGTTGAACAACCTTCACACAACCGAGAGAAAGAAAAGTTTTCACCTCGACGACATAAAAATGATGGCTATGTGGACATGGTAAATGAAGAAGACAAAAGCTTTAAGCTACCAGACGAAAATGACAAAAAAACTCCAGTTACAAAATTCGTTTTAATTTTAACCTTTTTTTCCGCCATCGGAGGCTTTTTATTTGGCTATGATACCGGTGTTGTGTCTGGGGCCCTGTTACTTTTAGGCAAAAACTTTCAAATGAGTACCATTTCCAAAGAATTGTTTGTAAGTGTCACTATTGGATTGGCCTGTTTATTTTCTCTTGTTGGTGGAGTTTTGAATGACTGGATCGGTCGCAAACCAACGACCCTGTTGGCCAGTCTTGTGTTTACAGTTGGGGCCCTTCTGTTGGGGTTTGCCTCCAATTTGGTCACGCTAATTATTGGCCGAGCAATCCTTGGAATTGGGATAGGTAAGTTAATTAAAAAATGGATTTATTTATTTTTCTTTCCAAGTGTCTCTTTCCTTCTAGTCTCGTATGAATACAACAATTCTTCTCTAGTTTATGGCGGTTTTTATTTATTTAGTTTCTTTTTTTTCTCTTAAAAGAAATTTTATTTTTTTTTACCAAGCGCATATACCAACGGATATATTTTCTGTACTAATATATATATATATATATATATATATACAGAAAATAAATCCGTTGGTCTCTAATCCAAGTGGATTTCAAAAAAAAAAAAACCGCTTCACAAAAAGCGCTCAATGTCAGTCAGAGCATAAATTTATTTACGCAACAAAATCCAAAATTACCTCATATGGTAATTTAGGATTATTTGTGTAAATAATATAAACTTTCGTTAAAATCTTCATTTGATTAAAAACCCTATTGTAAAGAATATAACCCTGTTTTGTTTTGCTTTCTTTTTCTTTTTTCCCCTCAATTACTTACCCGCCTCTTGATTAAATGACGGAAGTATAAAAATGAAAGGAAATATTTGTCAATTTTGAACTTCCGTGAAAAATGTTTTTATTTTTTTTAAATTTTTGTTTCATAAATGAAAACCATTTGAGAGGAAAGGAAAAAAAAAACCTCTTCGTACATCATGTTTTATTGTTTTACGACACTGAGTAGCATTTAGTAGGTTATTATTATTTTTAAAGATAAGAAAAAAAGTTAATTTAAACCATTTTTTTTTTTTTTTTTTACTCTTCTTCGGAAATTGAGTAACAACACCATCAGTCGTACAATAATTAGTCACTTTGGCCTTAAGAAGTCATAAGGAACAAAAATAAATCTAATGGTCTCTGTTCTGGTTCCGAGTTCCATCGTCATTTCTAATCAGCCTCTCTTTTTATTCCGACATTAATAAAAAAAATTCCTATAAGTTTAAATAAAAAAAAAAAAAAAACGGTCCTTCGTTGATTTTTCATTTGTTTTTCTTTCATTTGTTTTTCTTTCATTTGTTTTTCTTTCATTTGTTTTTCTTTCATTTGTTTTTCTTTCATTTGTTTTTTTACTGCTCTTTATTTTCCAGCAGTCGAACAACTGGTGTTTGTACAAAGATTTTTACTTTTTAGTTTTTTTCTCTTTCCCAACTTGATCAGTTTTTTTTTTTTTATGACGGAAATCCGAAGAAGAAAAAAAAAAATCAATTTTACTCTGTGACCCTTGATGAAATATAAGTGTAACATTAAAAAAAAGAAATATACCAAGAATTCATAGTTGCTTCTTCCAAAAATGAATGAGGAACAAAGAAATAACTTTACTTTAGTAATAAAAAAGAAAAGTTATTTCAGTATTCAAGGAAGTGCCTTGGGCCAAGTTATTGAAATAACCAGTTGCTTCTTGAAACAATTGTTGTTTTTTAGTTTGTTTTTAAATTACTTGTCTTGAATAAAAACTAAAAAGTGATTCGTATGACTAAAAATGGTTAAAAATGTAACTATTTTCTTCCATCGTACTTTCTTCTGGCTCTTTGCTTTGATCTTCAAAAATAATGTCAATCATTATCTTCTGTTTTCTAAAAATCTGTTCTTTTATTGTCCTCTTAATTTAATAGTGTTTTTTTTTTTTTTTTACAAATGCTCAGTAACTCCTTGCATTTTAGTAGCGTTATTGTCTTGCTTGAAGTGAAATGATTAAAAACAGAAATTTTTATTTTCTTGCTTTAATTGTTTGCTTTTAATATTCAAATTTTAAATGATGTGAATCAGTTGCATAACCCAGTCTTGAAACTTGACAAGAATTTGCCTCTACAATATTACTTATTGGTGTTAATTTGAAGATTCTTACTTTTATTATATAACCCCTGTGACTGGTACCAAATATAACTCTTTGTGTGTGTGTGTGTGGGGGGTATCTATATCTTATTTTGTGATGTGGTCACTGCACCAATTATTATCCGTTACTTGTGCTGGTTCCCAAATCCACTGTTTGGGTCTTGAATATCTATTCCAAGGTGGTTACACTTTGGTGAAGATGACTTCTTTCCTTCATCAGAATATGTCATCTAGTTCATTGTGTACTTGTGACAAATTCATAAACCATGAATTTTAGCCAGTAGACTTTTTTTTAATACATGTTGAGTTGAAGTTCCTGCGACACATAATGAGGAAAGAGGGCCTGGAGAATCTGATACTCACGGATCAAATAGAGTGAAAGAGAGACAAGGGAAAGCAGTACAAGACATATCTGATGAGCTTGAGCAGATGGATGACAGAATGTGGTCTGGGGGAGGAAGCAGAAGGGAGGAACTTACTGACAGCTGCAAGGGATAGAGGGAGGTGGAGAGCTATGATCGCCTACGCCCTGAAAGGACATGTCACATAAAAAGAAAGATCTTTGAATGGGGCATTCTGGTGTCTCTAACTACTCCAGCTGAACTCCTTCTCTTTACCTGCTACTAATAGTAATCGGCTCTTTCATGCATGCGTCCTGAGTAAGACGTTAAACTATGTCCAGCAGCAAGGTCTCTGATCAGGAGGTTTTGAGGAGCGTGGAACCACCTCTTAATTTTGGTGTTCCCAGGTCCACCTTGACCCGGGGTGGTAGCACCTGTTAGGTTCCCAGCTATGGGAAAATTGTTACTATTAACAGCAATATTTTTTTGAAAAAAATTATTACTGGTATTACAGTTTTGAAGAAAATATATTACCAGAAGAGATTTTTTGACAAAACAAAATATTACCAGCAATAAAAAATTTTTGTCAGCATTGAATAAGCCATTGAGGTTGATATGCCGTAAAACAAAATAAACCAAAGAATACATATTCTATTCATACGAATCTATCCTAAAAATGTTGTCAGCATTAAATAACCCATTGAGGAAGATATGCAATTAAACAAAATAAACCAAACCAATCTAAACCAAAGAATATATTCTATTCATATGAATCTATCCTAAAAATGTTGTCAGCATTAAATAACCCATTGAGGTTGATATGCCATTAAACAAAATAAACCAAACCAATCTTTCATGCACATACATATTCTGTTTATTAGGTTCTGCCAGAAAATAGATCAGATTAATTAGTATCTCAAACAAAAAACCTTCTGCTGCATACATATGGCCTTCAATAGTGTTTTACAGTTTTCGCCTGGACTTTTAAGTTTTCAAAGTTTTTTTTTTTTTTTTTTTTTATTGATCAGTATCACCCCATACAAGTCAGTAAAGCTGCAAAAACAAGGGGTTACTGGGTGTGAAAGAATTAGGAACAGAAACATTAATAATGAGCGGGAAGAGAAAAGAGTAATCAGGAGGACAGTAGATTGGCAGTGCTTTTAAATTTTTGCAGATTAAAGTTGGCTGGAAAGCATGGATTCAGAAGGGAGTTCCACAAGTGAGAAGTGTGAAAAAGGACCTGTTATCATAGAATTTACGGCTACATCTATTCAGCTCAACTGTAAATTGATAACTACTCTAGTACTGTTGTAATATCTCAGGGTTGATCCTGGTTTGATCAATGGAGTGATCCCTTTGATCCTGACCTGCCTTACTCCATGTTGTGATTATATTGATTATAAGGAGGCCAAGATCAATTTGGCACAGGTATCTTCGTGTTGGGCTGGTCCAAGTTGAGTGAAGTCATACAATAAAATTGGGAAAAAAAAAACAAAACAGCACTCGAAATATATACAAAAATAATTACTATTTTTTTCTATCAATTCTGTGTGCAAGGGTACGTTAGTAGCTGTGTCCACATACAGGTGTTTGTCGACCCAACCTGTTCTTAAATCGGATGCAACACTTGGGTAAGCTGGTAAGTTTTTGGCTTGCAGAGTTATCGAAATTTGTTTTACTGTATTGTTAAATTTGGCTCAAGGCTTATGTCTGAGGTTCTTGTGTTTGGTTTCCCTTCTCAACTATCAGCTCGCAACTCTACTCAACTCAAATGTCGAACTGAACTTTCTGAATGGCTTTTATGCATTCATTTTTTATAGATTCCAACTAGAAACCAGTGTGGGGCAAGATGTAGGCCAGGTTTTTGTGAATCTGATTTTCAACAAAAGTCTATTATTTTTGGTCTTGAGAAATCAAATTAGTTTCATAATTTGGGGGAATTCTCCCTCTTTCGTGGGGGGTGGGGCTGGGTGCAGACATTGCTCCACCAGGCTGCCTCCACCTTCTCTTAGTACCATCTCTCACTATTGCTCCCCAGTGGGTGTGAGCAGATCCTTCAACATCCTTAATGTCTTCTCTGTGCCTGCTACCCTTCAGTGGGTGCAGACAATCCCCTCATCCTTTCTTGATTGCTCTTCTGTGCTTGTCACCTCCAATATTTGGTCGGAAATTGATAAAAAAAAATATGGTTTCAAATATACTGTAAATTGACACCACATTTGGCTCTCACACCTCTGGCCCAAGAGACACTTTCCCAGGGAAACTTTTTCAACTCCCATTATCATGACCATTATTCAGCCGCAGGTGTTCAATTCACTGTTTGTTTTCATTCTGACATCCTGCAAAATAATCAGGCATTGGTTGTCACCAGCTGTCAACAGCTGATTTGTTCATACAAACTGAGAATCAATTTCAAGCAGACATTTGGTCCATTGTACATATTTCAATTCTCTGGGAACGATTCTTGCTATCAGCCTAATTTTCTGGTATTGACTAAACCTTTTCATACTAAGTCATTCATTATTATCTCGTTTTTGAGTCGCTATTTTGATTATTAATTATCAACAACCCAAATAATACCACATATATTCATATAAAATTTTAGTTAAATTCTTAGAGGTTTCACACACACACACACACACACTCTATACTTTCTTACAACCATGGTTTCTGCCAAGTAAATTGACACCATATTTGGCTCTCTCACTTCTGACCCAAGAGACACTTTCCCAGAGAAATTTTTAGTGATCAGCCACAGGTGTTCAATTCATTGTTTTTCATTCTGACATCCTACGAAATGGATTCATTTAGTTTTAACTCAATTCTTTTCTTGTCAGATTCAGGCATT